CATCAATTCACTTCTGTGGATCAGAACATATGGGAAAATATTTCTTTTGAAAGTGATGGTAAACTTATTACACTTTATTTACATATAAAAAAAATAACCATCGTTAAGAACGGAAGGTCGAGGAAATAGAAGGTACGGGATCACCGTATCTCAGTAATCCTCAGTCTATTCTCAATTTAAGTTAATTTATTATTAGAGTATTAACCGAAGTATTACTGGTCCAAACACAACGATTTTGTTTACGTCACTCTGTGCCTAAATGCTGTCCCATGGGGTAGTTATTGGAGGAAAGTGCTGCTTGGCTCATCCAATTCTCTACCATTCAGTGGGAACATTTACAGGCACTAGAAAAATGATTAATAACAATGCTGGTGCAATAGCCAAATATGATTGAGCCCACATATCTGATTGAGCATTATGATGGTGCCCTTCTGTTGCTTATTCAGTTATTTGTTTGATTTATAGGCTCCCCTAATGTGTTGCACATCTGTGAGAGGGAAGATGTGCAAATCTAACAAATACAAACGTATTTAAATCAGCCACAGAAGGCGTTCTTCTCATCCCAGATAAAGTCCAGCTTACTGGAGAAAACAACAGCATAAAGAACTCCAAAGTACCTTCCAACTTTATTATTATTATGATGATGGCTCACATGGTTAGGATGCTGGGCTGGAGGTTAGCAAGCCTGTGTTCAGGACCCATGTGCAGTCATGGGGCAGGGTGTGTGTGTATTTTTTTTGCCATACCATGGAAGTAAAAAGCATTTTCTGGCAACAACGTCATAAATTTTGGTCGCGTGACTGTAGGACACCACAAATGATCATCAATGCAGGACAAATACCAAGTCCCCAAAATGTCACATGACTGTGAAGGGCTGCAGATTTTGGAACTTCGAATCCAGGTTGAAAATCCCTTTTATGGACTTATGAAATCTGTTGTAACTTCATAAGTCAAGGACCACCTGCATTTATAAAGCAGATGATGGATGTAAATTTGGAGTGCAGGTATAATCTTGAAAGAAAGGAAGCATTTATTCAAGTTTATTTTTTGTGTAAGTTAATTTAGATTTAATTTAATTAAGTTCCATTAAGTATCTGTTAAGTGACAGACCTCATGATTACTGATTGCACTAATATAGGATGATAAAGATTTCGAGACAGAGAACAATGACAATTAAAAACCCAGGGGTGTAGAGGGGAGTTTCTAAAATTTACATTTTAAACTGAATCAACCAATTAACAATTTTATGCAATTTGGCAAACATTTGGGCTAGTCAGAGATGCAAGGAGCTATATAAAAACCTTCTCGACTAAAAATAAACAAATATCCAGTTATTCTTCCTCTTTGCATGTCATAGCACCAGGTTCTGAGATTTTTGAAACATGCCTACAAGCTTCCCTCTGAAAATGTGTTTATATATATATAGTAAGAACCAGTGCTTTTTTTGTAAAAAAAAAAAAAAAAAAAAAAAAAGGTGCCAGAACTCACACATGTCATACAACCTGCCTTGCCTACTCTACAAGGTTCCATCCCAAAAAAGGTGCCGGAACTCCGTTCTGGGCGCTCTATGACAAAAAAAGCCCTGGTAAGAACTATAAATTTGTTTTCCATTTTAATAAGGAAGACAAAATAAACTAATGTCAATGTAAACTGTGTCCCTATTTCTTCCGAGGCTGCTTTTACACCTTGTAAAATTGCTTCTCACATCTGCATTTTTACATATTGCTATATAGCCATGTTGAGATATCTCCATCTGTTACATTTCTAATTATTGTAGTTTGATAAATGGCAGGCACAAAGGGACACGGTTCTCATAAAAAAATTGGAACAACATTTAATGAGGGGTGATGGCAGTGCTAGAAAACAGGTGCATCTTCTTACAATTATAAAGGCAGGCAACTGCTAGACCATGAGACTAAAACTTAAAACACTGGCCATTAAGTAATAACCACCAATACAATAATAATAATTTGTATTGCACTGTGGACCCTTCAAGAGCATTCCACCTCTCTGAGCAGGAAGAATAAATGTTTAAATGCAATGGGAAATATAACATGGTCAGTTTGTTTAATGTGCACAATACAATGAAATATCCAGTTCCCTCATCACAATAAAACAATAAAGTTAGGTTAATCAAACTTAGTGTTTTGTAATAATGAAGTTGCTGCTGGACTTAGTTAAGCCTGTTGCACACAACACTATAAATTATACTAAAAATGTAAGAAAAGAGCCTTAGTATAATATACAGTGCTGCATGCACTTTTTCAAAGAGCTAGAATCACTGAAACGATTGAATAAGCATACATAGGATTTTGCTAAGAAGACTCAACTATAATTCATAAAGATGCTAAAATAGATTACTATAGGGATCAGTTTATATCCTGCAATGGATTTAATGAAAATGATCAATGTTGATTTTATTGGTTAAATTATGTGATTATGTGCCATCAAATCACTTTTGACTCCAAGCAACCACATAGATTTTCTCCATGACAATCTGCCCCTAACCCGGTTTTACAGATTATCCAACTGTGCATTCAAAGACACTGTGACTTAGTCCATCCACCTTGCTCCTGCTCGTCCTATTCCACCTGCCAGTTTTTCTTGAGAGATGATTAACCTAATATTTCCTATCAAATTCATTAAAAGTCCATCAGATTTGTCTATAATCTATAGAAGATCAAGTACACATACAAAATAGAAGATTTATAAAAATTTATAGCTCAGGGTTGAACTTGATGCTCTATGAGCTTGGTGGTTTTCTTACAGACATTTCATTACCCAACTAGGCAACATGATTAGTGCAAGGTTACTAGATATCAGTGCAAGGTAATTAGGCTAACTGATGATGTTACCTAGTGTGGTAATGAAACATCTGCAAGAAAACTACCAAGAGCACCAAAGTCCCCACAAAGTATGGCTGATTGAAAGAATGTTACTCAGATACAGTTCCCAGCACCTTTAGCCAGGTTTAACAGTGGTAAATGCTGTGAATATAAATCAGGATCATGTGGAGAGCCACAGATGCTCTATCTTTGATGTAAAGCAAAATATGCCAGCTAGAACTGGACACTCTGTTACCAATCCCAGATAAATGGGCCATGCTGGACAGTGGTAGC